AGCGAGATCCGACGGAGGCGGCGAGATCCGACGGAGGCGGCGATGAGCTTCGACGAAGGCGGCGAACTTTCAGAGAATTTGGGGGCGATTTTGGCTCTTCGTCAAAATGAAAGGGGGGAATTTTCCCTCCTTTTATTTCGCGGAGGGGGGATTTGGGGGTGGGGTTTTGGCGACGCGGATAAATAAAATAGCGTCGCTAAAAATATGGCTTTTACCGACGCTAATTATAAACGTCGGGAAAAAAACACTTTTAGCGATGTTAACCTAATACGTCACGATAAATGCATACTATTAGCGACGTTAATTCTAAAACGTCGTTAAAGAACTATACTTTCGCCGACAAAAATGAAAAAACGTCGGGAAATCCATAACTTTCACCGACGCTAAGTTAAAACGTCGCTAATAATATACACTTTTAGCGACGCTTATTATAAACGTCGGGAAAAATATATTTTTTGCCGACGCTAGCTAAAAGCGTCGGGAAAAACATAATTTTTGGCGACGTATTTAACCATGCGTCGGGAATAAGCGTCGGGAAAAATGCAATTTGTTGTAGTGAGGAGATTATCTTCATGTTTGGGCTTCAATCTCCATCTCTCCATCTTGTCATCTATTGAGAAGTTTTTTAAACTCTACTCTAGCTTTTATTTATAATTATTTGTTAATTATCATTTCTATTAAAGCTAGTTTTATATTGTGTTTAGATTTGATTTTATCTCATTGTTACACACACCCACTTGAGCTTATTGTATTTGCATTTATAATATATTTGGGGTTGTGAGAGTTGTAACATTGAGTGTGAGCTTTCATTGTGTTCTCATCCATAGTTGAGAACAATCAAGTATTGTATTGAGCCTAATTGTGAGATTCACTTTGTAATACACTTGTACACCGAGAAGAGTGTGTGGTGAGAATCGGGGATCGTCCCAAGAGAAGTAGCATCGGTTGACGAGCCTAGGGAGAGGTTGTAACCGAGCACTTGAGGGAGATACGGCTAGGTCCAACACTTGTGAGTGTGTAGAGTGTGATTGCAAGAGTGTCGATTGTAAAGTTTTCGGTTAGCTAGAAAACCGAGTGTGAGGTGTAAACGTTATTCAGGTGAACGTAGAAAACCCGGTTGATAGTGGATTTCTCCCCGGGAGTGGGGAGCGGAGACGTAGGACGGAAGGTCCGAACTCCGTGATCATTTGAGTGTGTTTGAGATATCGCCATTGTCTCATTATTTATTTCATCCACTATCTAGTTCATTTTGTTTACCCTTGTGTTAGTTTTTATACATCCTTGCACATACATTACCTATATCTCTTTGTTAGGATATATATTGTTGTTCATATTGCTTATCCTAGCTCATATATATTATTGTATTTCATACTTGCTAGGATAACTTGTTAATTATTTTTAATTGGCATTTTAATCAGATTAGATTAGCATAAGACCCTAATCACCCCCTCTCTAGGGTCTAACAGTAGATATGCGGATTCGGGAAATCTTTACCATTGAACGCATGAAGTGTTGGTGGCTTGAACTTCGACGGATAGGGAACCATATCCCATTCGAAGGGATAAGGTTAGGTGATTCCAATCTTCTTGAGCTCTGTTCATTGAGAAAGAATGTTGAGCTACTTCTAAATGTCTTCTAGGGCATTGACCTCCTTATTTGGTTTTGACGGTAGTGTACCGTTTGACCTTACATGTTTAGAGTCCATATAATCTTGCTATTCTTGATCGTCTTCAAGAGGATTTTCGCCAAATGGCCTTTTTTCCTTTCAAAGAACTCACTTGAGGATGAGAGGCTAGTAAAAGTTACTTAACCATCTCTTCTAGTCGTGCAATTCGTTCATCCAAATCTTTCTTCTGAATTGCCATTTAGGTCACAACGTATTCTCAGTTTGTTATGCCTATTTCCCATTGTCATTTTTGACTTGAAATAGTGGTTGGATTTGATGCCATGGCATAGTTGGCTCCACTAGAAGTGGGTTGATTCAACTGGGATGCAGACTGTGATGTTTGCATCGGGATGGAGGAGTAGTCAAAAGAAACAATCACTCGTCTCCTTAGCCTAGTGTTGTGATATACTCCATCGGCTTCTGGTAGAATGGATCCAATGCCATGAGAGTATACTGGATTAGGCGAGCTATCTGAACTTTCCTCATCGTCTCTATAAGCCACACTTGTTGTGTTGACAGTGAACAATTGCATTTTGCTCCTTTGAGTGCGTCGTCGTCGTTTAATCCAAATTTCTAAAATCTTAGGAATATAACTAAGACGATTGAAGAATGTTTCTTTTCATTGGCAATTCTTATGAACTCCCAAGATTACTTCTCTGAGGTTCATGCAATGCTAACATCGGAGAGTTCTCTTCAGAGTTATGAATTCTCTCAAGTCAGCATTGGTGCCAACTTTGTTGGTTTTGGCCTTGGAATGCGAACGTCGCTTACGGCGACGTTAGATAGATGTTTTTCCAACGGAATCATGGATGATGATGTTATTCCTTTGAGTAAATTTGGATGAGGAATAACCCACATTCTTTTCTTCTGTCAAAGAAGCATAGCGAGCATCGTGAGACACTTTGAATTGAACTCCTAAAGGAGTCGAAGACTGAAGTCCGAGATCCTAATCTTTGCTCGAGGCGAGAGTCGAAATCCCTTTGTCATTGGTAAAGTTTATTGGGCTTCCAGCATAGCTCGAACTATCCTCGGCAAAGGTGGGCTTTCCACACACGGGGGTCGTTTTAGACCCAAGATTCGTACTGTAGTGAATTTTGTGACAACTGCACATGGTTGTCGTCGTAGAGATTTTATTCTGGGAAATTGATTCCTTAAACTTCGCTTGATCAAATTCAACGACTAGTATTTTAGCAAAAGACCCAATGTTCTTAGTGTCGGCGTGCGATACAATCTTCTCGTCAAAGGAGAAGGAAGTCCCCAGCGGAGTCGCAATCTAGTTTTAGGTTATTTTGAATTATAATTGCCACAGATTACAATAAAATAAATACAATAAAACGAAGGAAAATTTTATTTTTCCTAGGGTTCTTTTCCGTGTGCCGATGGATCGTCGATCTTGTACTCCATTGACTCGCCGACTAAGATGATGGGTCTTTTTGCTATTGATGAGGATTGAATTGCTTGGAAGCTAACTCAGTCTTCTCTTAGCAATACCTCTCGTATGCCTCTGCGCGTATATGTTTCTCTCTGTGTGTCTCTCTTGTGTTGTAGATGATTTTCTCTCCTTTTATAGGTGTTTTCGTCAAAAGTTATTTTTTCCATTGCTTTCGAACCTGTTACACCATTTATTGATTATAAGTCTGAACTGAAAGAAAAGTCGATCTTTTTATAAGATCTTCTTACAATGAAAAAATAAAAAATTATAACTTTATCTAACAAAACACAATAATTGTTTATCTTCTGATACTTCATGTGGGACCTTTGCCTGTGTCGGGGACACGTTAGTCCGTAGACCACCGCAGATCAAATCCAGTTGACTGTATAACTACGCTCTTGTTTCACAAATATGTTCAAGGAGTTTGGTCACCCTCGATCTACGTCTCCGCTCCTCACCCTCGAGGAGATTCTCCACTAATCACAAAAGCAACTACATAATCGGTTTTCGACGCTCAACAATAACGTTTAAAACTCACACAATTGTCAATACATAATATACTCCTCTAAGTGTTGGCCTACCCGTGTTATCTTCCTCAAGTACATGGATTTACTATCTCTTCCTAGGCTTTACAACCAACGCCACTCCTCTTAAAATTAACCACGGTCTATCCCAACCACTTCTCTAAGTGTCCTTGTGTATTACAACGTGTTCTCAATAATAAAGTGCAAATAACAAGATTTGTTCTCTAAAGAAGATGAGTACTAAAATGAAGCTCACACTCAATTATTCACTCACCACAACTTAAATATACAATATGTGAAAATACTTAAGCTCAAATAGGTTGTGTGTGAAATCAATAAGAAAAAATAAAATCAAACTTGAATTAATCTGGCAAATATAAATATAACAATTTAAATATAAACAAGCTAGATAACTAAGTTTAGAAAAACTTCTCCAAGAACTTGAGAGATAGAGATTCGAAGAATGATGCTCAAAACCGAAATGATCTCCTCCTCTTGTAAACTCTTTTTGTATAAACAAAAACACACTTAAAACTTTAAAACAAAGTTGTGTAAACTCACTTAAACATCCATAAGAAATAAATAAGAGTTGAGAGCTTTTTATAGCCTCTCAAACCAATCAAAAAACATAAACAAGTGAGTCTGGAAAACTAGCCGTTATAGTATCGTCGGTCCACTGATGTACTGTTTAGTTGATTGATGAGCTAACCGTTGGCTGATTCTGGGAAACTATCGGTCGACTGATGCAAACCATCGGTTGACTGAAAATACTATTTAGTCGACTGATGGAGGTTGGTCGACTGAGCAAAAACTTTTTGGCAATTGCAGAGTACTTCATCGGTCGACTGATGAATAGTATTAGTTGACTGAAAAACGTGCACATCCCAGTTTTAAGTAGAAAATCTGATTTTCTAAGTGTGTTTAAAAATATCAAATAAATTCTAAACATTGTGAAACTTGGGAAATGTTTATATGCATGAATATAAACATGTTAGAAAAGAAGTTTTTAAAATATCATTCCCCGTTCATGAAAACTCATCATTTTGTAAAATCTCAAAAAAATACGAGTTCATTTAAACATTTGATTTTAACAAAACAATTTCAAATACATTTGGAAATTCTTTGAATGGATTAATAGAATTTGTAAAAGCTATAAAACATTATTATTAAATCAATAATCCAAAGACTCGATATTTTCTAAAAAACACTCATATTATGATAAAAATGAGAAATACACGTGTGTATAAGAATTAATCTCTAAGCATAACACACAATGTATAATTCCTAAAACTAATATACCCAAGTTGATTTGCATGAAGCTTGATCTTGAATCTTGGATCTTGAATTGCATCGACTTCAT